GGAAATGGCACAGAGAAAGGCCAGAGGCCAGTTCAAAGAACAAAAGGAAGGTCGAAATGAATATAAAGTGCAAGGAGAGGGGTGCCTAGGTGGCTCAGTTGGTTAAATGTCTGGCTCTTGGTTTCGGCTTACATCGTGATCTCAGGGTCATGGGATGAACCCCAACGTCAGGCTCCACACTGAGCATAGCACCTGCTTAAGATTCTCTCTTCCTTGGGGTGCCTGGGTGGCTCAGTCAGTTTAGGCGTCCGACTCTTGATTTCGGCTCAGGTCATGAGCCCAGGGTTGTGGGATCGAGCCCCGCAATGGGCTCTGTGCTCAGCAGGGAGTCAGCTTGAGATTCTCTCTCGCCTCTCCTTCTCCCTCTGCCCCTCCCCCACCTCTAATATAAATAAATCTTTAAAAAAAAAAAAAGATTTTCTCTTCCTCCCCCCCCAACTCTCACAGTCTCTTAAAATATAAAAGTTAATTAATTAATTAATTAAAGTGAAAGGAGAGAAAAGGTAAGCAACAAGTCTAGAGATATATGGGAAAAGGCCTTGTAAACCACATGGAAGAGTCTGGACTTCATCCAGAGGGCAGCAGGGAGTCTTAAAGGGTTTTAACAGTGGGATGACTTGGCTGTAGTGTGTAGAAGACCTGGGGTAAGGGCAAGACAAATGGCAGGAAGAACACTTAGGAGGTTACTGCAGTAATGCAGGCAGAAGAAGGTGGCGGCCAGAACTCACCCAGCAGAACCAAGAATGGAAAGAAAAGGTAGCTTTGAGAAATATATAAGACACCAATCCTACTTCTTTTACTCATTGATTTTTTTTTTTTTAAGATTTTATTTATTTGAGAGAGAGAGAATGAGAGACAGAGAGCACGAGAGGGAAGAGGGTCAGAGGGAGAAGCAGACTCCCCGCTGAGCAAGGAGCCCGATGCGGGACTCGATTCCGGGACTCCAGGATCACGACCCGAGCCGAAGGCAGTCGCTCAACCAACCGAGCCACCCAGGCGCCCTACTCATTGATTTTTAAATGTATCTTCAATTACACTGTATTTGCATTACAAATGAACAGTTAACTGCCAGGGAGTTTAGGATGATTTGTATGCTTCCCTGAACTTCAAAGGTTTGGTGATCTGTCAGTGGTCAATAGGTACAATGGAATTCTGGAACTTCAGGTGCCAATACAGATCTATGCTCATCTTGTGACAGAATGTATTTCCAGACTTAAAAATGTTAAGATTTTAGAAAGGTAAAATGGTGTGTATACTTTATATTATGTGACACCCTAGGGTAGGGCTTTGGGATATCTCCCTGTACCCAAATGCATTCACAATTTTGAGGCAAAATGTATGGAAAGTCACACTAAAGGGAATGAAGACGAGATTCGGGTCAGGTTTTGCTGCAGAGCTCACATCAGGTTTTGCTGCCAAATAAGTAACAAAAGAACCTGAGGTATTCGGAGCTCTGGGTGTTTCAGAATTGCAGATAAGGGATGGTGGATCTATAATCATATCTTAGCTCCTAAGCTGAGTTTGGATATTTATAAGAAAACTGTGCCCTTAGCAAGCATTTTACTCCGAATTACCAATGTACTTGAGAATGCAGACAAGGAAATAATTACAAGATCCCACCAGCGATACCCAACTGAGCTACTAAAGAAGGGTGTAAAAACATCGTTGCAGGGGCGCCTGGGTGGCTCAGTCGTTGGGCGTCTGCCTTCGGCTCAGGTCATGATCCCAGGGTCCTGGGATCGAGCCCCACATCGGGCTCCCGGCTCAGAGGGAAGCCTGCTTCCCCCTCTCCCTTTCCCTCTGCTTGTGTTCCCTCTGTCAAATAAAATCTTAAAAAAAAAAAAAGTCGTTGCAGCCAGGTATCAATGTGCTGAGGCAACGAGAACTCTAGAAAACAGCTGTTTTAAGATCATTCCCATCTTGTAAGATGGTGGCTGGAAAACGTGAGAAGATGGTCATTAAGCCCAGAATGCTGATCCCAGTGGCGAAATCCAGATAGAAGCCCCCCACAGCCAAAAGGCCCCAAAAAGGAAGCCCCCTGCCCCTGGGAGATGCCTTAGCAGAGGAGTGGCTGACATTCCCAATCCCGGAGGTATTCCAGCAAGGCTGTATCCAAGAGGAAGTCCACAGGGGTGAATTCCACGATTAAAAAGAAAGGGAAGTTGCACCACTGGGACAAAGCCAATTGGCAGGGATAAAAATGGTGGCCCCAAAGAGATTAACATTTTTGAAATGACCAAGTAAGTATTAACCTCTTGAAGATGCACTTTGTCTGGGTCTTCAATCCAGATGAAGAGAAATACAAGCTTACAGAACAATGCGAGGCAAACCAGAAAACTGGGGACTGTCAACTTTTGCCACAAATCGGGGCCCTTGCTAGTTCCAGGACTGCCTGTATTCTGTGTTGCCTTGAACACAAAAAAGACTGCTTGCAGAGCTGAAGTTAAAACATCCAAAACAATAATAACAAACAAATAAATCCCTGCTGTTTCAAGGGATCTTCTTTTCTGAGAGCTAATGAAGAAGTCTGTTAAAACACCCAAACATGAGGGGCTCTAGAAGATAGAGCACAAGGCAAATGTTGTGTATGCAAGAAATATCCTAGAATGTCAATGAGCCTAAAACATACCAAGGTCAGTTATGAAGGTCAGGGATCCATGCCCCATGTCTCAGGAAAGGAAAGGTCCAAACACAATATTCAAGGAAAGGAAGTTTCAGGCCCTAAACAACAGGCATAGTGTTGGTCCTCAAGAACCATGTGGTTAGTGCAAGGCCAGTCTCCCAGCACATCTGTATGAAAACACCCTCGCTCAGAAGGCTGGGTAGAGCTGGCAGGGGAAGGGGGTCTTCTCTACCAGCACTGCATTCTCAACTAATATGAAACCAACGCAAATAAACTGTTTATTTTAGGTCAGAAATAAAGGCAATAAAGTCCCCCAAACTACCCTATGGAAGTTCAAGATAAACAGGAGTCCATCCCTCTCTTACCTTCTCTCTTATGTGAGCCTCTATAAAAGTTTCTCTCCATTCAAGGTAATGGGATAGTCGTGTTTGAAGGGCTGAATCAGGAACAAAAATTGTTTCTGGGATACATTTTTTTCCTTTAGGAATCTAAACCCCCAAGAACCTAAACAAGGCCCCAAAATGAATTTTAGCCTTGTATACGTTATGCTACACGTACATCAGAAATACTATGGCACTGTTCAAAAGGATGAGGCAGATCTGGGGGAGGCGGGTGGGGGGTGGGGGAACTGCATGCTGGACATTAAGGAGGGCACGTGATGTAATGAGCCCTGGGTGTTATATGCAACTGATGACTCACTGACCTCTACCTCTGAAACTAATAATACATTATGTTAATTAACTGAATTTAAATAAAAAATTAGGAAAAAAAAAAGAAAGCTGTGGTAGGGAGGCAGTTCCCCTTTCCAGATTCATTTACAATTAATTGCAAAATTCTATAACTATCCTCTGAATCGCATCTAACACTCAAATGTTTGTTCTTTTTTTTTTTAAGATTTTATTTATTTATTTGACAGAGAGAGACACAGCGAGAGAGGGAACACAAGCAGGGTGAGTGGGAGAGCGAGAAGCAGGCTTCCTGTGGAGCAGGGAGACCGATGCAGGACTCGATCCCAGGATCCTGGGATCATAACACAAGCCGAAGGCAGACACTTAACACCTGAGCCACCCAGGTGCCCCTAACACTCAAATGTTTAATGATACCAAAGCACAGAATAAACAAAACAAGGCGCGATGTGCCTGTGTGTGCCACACACTGCCACGGGCAAAGGCAAAAACAAATGTCGGAGGTAATAAAATATTGACTAATTTTAATAGAAAACAAAAACAAAAGAAAGAGGCAGATCTGTATGTGTATGTGCTGACATGGAAAGATGTTGGGGGTAAATTGCTGAAAGGCAAAAAGCAAGCTGAGGGGCAGAGTAGAAAGCAATATATACCAATTTTGTAAAAACAGACTACACGGGCGCCTGGGTGGCTCAGTTGGTTAAGCGACTGCCTTCGGCTCAGGTCATGATCCAGGAGTCCCTGGATTGAGTCCCGCAGCGGGCTCCCTGCTCGGCAGAGAGTCTGCTTCTCCCTCTGACCCTCCCCCCTCTCATGTGCTCTCTCTCTCTCTCTCATTCTCTCTGTCTCAAAAAAAAAAAAAAAAAAAAACTATACACATGTGTTATAAATACAGACATAGAAATATTTTTTCCATTAGGGTCAGGAAGAACATACATAACCATTAATATGTTTTCCTAGGGAAAAGGATTAGAAAGAAAGGTAGGGGCACCTGGGTGGCTCAGTCAGTTAAGCGTCTGCCTTCGGCTCAGGTCATGATCCCAGGGTCCTGGGATCGAGTCCTGCATCGGGCTCCTTGCTCAGCGGGGAGCCTGCTTCTCCCTCTGCCTGCGCTCCCCCTGCTTGTGGTCTCTCTCTCTCTGACAAATAAATAAATAAAATCAAGAAAGAAAAGAGAAGAAAAGAAAAGAAAGAAAGGTAGAGAACCTTCCCTTCTATTTCATACCGCTCTGTAGTGTTTGCATTTTCTTAAAATCACAATGCATTATCTCAATTTTTAAAAATTAAAAAATTTAATGACATTCACTAGATTTAGTGGTGATCATTTTGCAGCATAGACAAATACTGAATCATTATGTTGTACACCTGAAACTAATATCATGTATGTCGATTATGACTCAAAAAAAAAAAAATTAAAGATTCTAGTCTACTAAAGGTCATATCAGACTATTCCCAAATAAATGACTTCTCATTATTGCCCTTTAAGCCCTGACTACAATACCCAGCAATAGATGGGGCTGTCTCTAAATGGACTGGCCCTTAATCTTTAGGACAGGAGAATAGGAAGATACCTTAAAGTCAGGAAAGCAACTCGACGGACCATACGGGCAAGAACTATATCCAGTTCCACATCTGTGATATCTGAGTGTCAGCACTGGACTAATTCTAGAGAGATGGATGGAAAGACTCACCAGATAAAGGTTATTTTTGTCCTGAAAGGCATACTGTAACTGGGGGATCCAAGGGCTTGTGCTCCAAGATAATATGTTCCGTTCTTCCTCAAAAAATGAAACCTAGGGGAAAAACAAACTCTTTAGACAATTATAACAGCACTGGGGTCGGGTGGGGAGAATGCCCTATCCTCTCTCTGTAAGCCAAAACTAATGTCTCTAGTTTAAGAAAAGAAAAACCATCCCTTAGCCCAGCACTCGACAAATTTCATTCATTTCCCTACTTTGCTCAACGTTTTGGCCAGATTTGTATCTTATTTGTCCAATTATTGGCTGAACCCCTCGCCTTAAAGTCAACTCACTTCTTTTAAATCTAAGTATCCTTCTCTTTCTCTTCTTCTTCACCTCCTCTCCCTGAACAATTCAGTCCTAAAGCCCTCAGGTGATGCAGAACAAGGTAAGCATCCATGACAGGTGGTAGGGAGAGAGGGCCACGGTGGCCCAGAACAGGGTGCCAGGCCCAAGCAGGGTGAGGAGGGCAGCGACCATGTGGGAGGGCAGTCCAATATCGGATATCAAGGGCCCACATAGGGTGAGGAAGGCATCCACATGCAGGGATGGCCTGGAGGAGGGCACCTGAGCCCACCAATGGGAGGAGTGGCAGCAAAGACAGGAGACTGGATGCACACAGATGCATAAAGTAAGTTAGAATATTAAGGGAAGAGAGCTACAAACACAAAAAAACGGTGAACACTAGAATAAACTCAGTGAAGTTGGACCGGACTTGGAGGTATTGGTGTGAACACATGGTTTTTCAATATACAGAGACAGAGAAATAAATATCGATGTAAATGTGTGTGTGCGCGGAGGTAGGTGTATTCCCTGGCTCTATCCACTGAAAGGGGTCTGGAAGCAGTGATACCCCAATAGCAATAAGGGCATCTAGTGCCCAGATCTTGGCTTCTAAATAGCCTCTTACACTGAAAGTCATTGCTCATCTTTGAGAAATAACTGATTGCAAGGGTGGGGCAGGCAAGAGCCTGAACATCTTGTTGTACCAGAAAGCAAGAGACAACCCAAAGAGGGGGGATGTGTCAAAAGACGCAAAAACCAACCTGAAGGGACTCTCATGGCCCAACTTAGGGGACAGTTTGAGGATAAAAATACATAATGACAATAATGGCTTGAACTCATTGACTTAAACAGGAAAATGCAAATCCACACAGCTCTAAGTTAATAAATTGAAAGTTTTGTGAGGAACAGGTGCTTCCAGTTTGAAAGCACCTCCCTACGGAACACTAATGTAATGACGAAGCAGAAAGGGCTGACCCCAGAGTGAAGCATGGCAGATACCTAAGTGAACATTGATGTGAACGCAACAAACTGAAACAAAGTCACCCGTTGGGATGCAACGAGAAGAACAGGGCATCTTATCTGTGATATTCCTGCCAAAGAGCTAGTACCTGAACCTGAACCTGAGCAACATTGGACATATCTATATTTTACAAAATAACTGGTCTCTAATCTTCAGAATCGCCAAGATCATGACAGTCCAAGGAAAATTGAGAAGCTGGTCCAGAATGAAAAAGACTAAAAAGACAGGACAACTAAATGCTATGTGGGATCCTGAGCTGGACGCTTTTTTCTAGAGGAACATGAAACAACCAGTGGAACATGAATGGGGTCTGAAGATTAGACAGTGGTAATGGAGCACTGTTTCTCTCCTGATTTTGTTGGTTGTATTGTGGTTCATGGGAGAGCATCCTTATTGTAGGAAATGCACACTGAAGTCTTCGGAGGTAATGGGGCATCGGGTTGGCAACGGATTTTCAAATGGCTCAGGAAGAAAAAAGTTGTTCATACTTTGTGATAGTTTTCCGTGTCAACTTGGCTAGGCTACAGCACCCAGCTATTCAATCAAACACGAATCTAGGTGTTGCTGGGGAACCACAACCCAACTCCTGTAATCTCCTGCTCCTGATCTGAGGTCCTTCTGCTTTCCCAGCACATAAAAGGTGTGCAGTGAAGGTTGGCCGAACTGAAGAACCTACATCTTTACTTGCTCACCGTGGACTCTTTGTTTGAGCCCTGAAGCTTCTGTTAAAATAAATGGTCTCTGAGGACTCTTCTGGTTCTCACCGAGCCCTGGGCAGCTGTGCTGGCCTCTCCTGCGCGACCGGTCTTGCTTACAGGATGTGCCCCTCCCGTCTCCTTCTCTGGCATTTGCTTTCACTCACTCCCTGTGCTGGTTTTTCTCTTCTCATGCCCTTAAATTCCAAAGCCTTGCCATGGCTCAATTAAAGATTCTACTTTTCTTCATATTCACTCTCTTAAGGAATGGTTGGGTAGCTTTCATTAGCTCCTGTGTGTGTCTGATTTTAAAAACCCCCCAGCCCACGCAGGGCACCTGGGTGGCTCAGTTGGTTAAGCCTCTGCCTCTCTATCTCAGCTCAGGTCTTGTTCTCAGGGTTGTAAGTTCAAACCCCGCACTTTATTTCAAAAAAAAAAATAAATTAAAAATAAATTAAAAATAAAATGAAACGAAAAAATAAAAACCCCCAGCCCATACTTCACACAGGGTCATTGAGAGTCCTTCACCTGAAGGAAGGCACACCTATTCGAACATCTCTATTGCTTGCCTGCAGTACAGTATATTAGATTGTTTTCTTTTTACATGCACTACTTCCCATCTAAAACAAACACTGCAAGGTCAGGGCTACATTTAATGCCTCTTCTCAAGGACTGAGAAGCACACCATGCAGAACAGGTTCTCGGGAAGCGCGTCCTGATGATAGGTGGTGGCTTAGGTACTGGGAGCTTGAGTGAGCATCTTCCATTCTTCCCTTCCAAATGATTTGCAACGTCCCGTCATTTCTCCTTTCGGTGAAGTTAAGTTGCTCACATTTCACTGCTAAACACAGGCTACATCATTCTTGGACTCTGACAAGCAGCCTCCTGCCCTCCATTGCTTCTTTGACTGGAGGCCTCACAAAGTCAGAGTCCTCAAACTCTGATCCCAACCTCTTCCTTCCAAAAGTGTAAACAATCCCCAACCGCCTCACATAGTGAACTGCCATTCCGAAAAACAGTTCTTGGGGGAATGGGGAGTTACCATGTCATAGGTACAGAGTTTCTATGTGGGGTGATAAGAAAGTTCTAGAAACAGAAAGTGGTTATGGTTGCACACAACATTGTAAATGCACTTAAGACCAGTGCATTGTACCTTAAAAAGGATTAAAACAGTAAATGTTATGCTATGTATATTTTGCCACAATAAAAAAAAGGTTCTTCCAATTTCCCGATGACCCTGTCCCCAACCCAATGTCTCATTTCTCCCCATTCCATCTGTTCTAAACCACGAAGACGAAAACACACACACACACACACACACACATCTGTATAGCATTCTAGTACTCAATCCTCCAGAAAAATCACACACACACACACACACACACACACACACACACACTTCCACCTGCCGTCACACCTCTCTGCCCAGAACCTACGTTCCCTCTCAGCGGTGTGAACCTCCCCTGACTGTCCCTGGCTCACCCACATCTCTCCTCACTCCATAGTTGGTGAATTTGCTCACTGCTCTCCCTTCTGCAATGCTTTAGCTGCTAAGCGCCTGCTTTACACATTTGCATTTTTCCTCCACTTTCCAAAGTTGTTTTTAAAGCCTGTAACTAACAGCCATGGAGCTTCAATTTCTTCTGCAGGCTTCCCACGGAGCTGGGTACATTATCGGACACATGATGTGTGCTCGGACGTCTGTAACTAATAAATTGCTCTGAACACCAAGGCTGATGACCGTCTCTCTAGAAACTCGGCAAATGAATCAATATGTCTGGAGCAGCAGGCTTGTTTAAAGAAAGAAAAATACCACGAACAAAAAGGGAAGTTCTTACCTGCTCTTAAACAAGCAACACCCTAGCCACAGAGTAACTGTATTTCATTTCTTCAAAGGCCTGTTTAAAAATCAAATATATACGCCCACAGCACAAAGAAAGAAAATGTGCCCCAAAGCGAATGCTGCCTAACCCGACAATATGCATATCTCAAAATCCCCCAGCCGACGGTCAGGAAAGGTCATCTTAAATTCGTTAGTTAAAAGGCCATGTTGATTCTGAACAAAATACAACCAGAGAAACGTGATAAAGAAATCAAGAGGAGCTTGTGAGGCTTCAAAATGAGTCAATATCAGTTCAAGAAGAAAAGCTGAGAACGTGAGAGAGCTTTCTGCAACCGTCATTAACCAGAGGATCACCAAGGAAAACTTGTGTGATCCCAGATGTCGATTCCGCAGATCATCACCTCTGCAGTGAACACTCTGGCACAAAAAGCGGAAAGGCCGTGGTGTTAAAATGCTCCTACCTGCTCTTGGGCCAACAAGGTCTTCTTCTTCATGACTTTCATGGCATAGATGTCCCCGGTCGCTCGCTCCCTTACCACCTGCACTTCGGCAAAGTGACCACAACCCACAAGACTTCGGACTTCAAAGTCCTTGGCTGAAGGCTGGAGCTCCTGTAACTCAGCTATGGTGTCAGAATCTGCAAGAGATGGAAGAGTTGCTCCCAGGTAAGGAAAGCATTTCAAATACATGCATCTTTATGAAAGCAAAAAAAAAAAAAAAAAGAAGAAGAAGAAGAAAGGAAAAAGAAGTGTTCCTATGTGTTCCCTCCCTGTCAAAAGACATTTAGTCACTTTCTCATCCGTCATGAATAATTATAAAATCAGCACAAAAGTGTTTTTATATGTTAAGTTAAAATTAAGGGCTCCAGAAATTCCAAAGCAGTTTCCATGGTAGCTATAATTTGAATCCTGTAGACTCAGAAAATAGGAGGAGAACACAAATCATGCTTTTCTTCCTCCTCTCTGAAGGGTTGCAGGGCAGTGTTCGGTCAAACATGTTCATAAGCATTTAGACTGGCTTATGATGTGACGTAAGCAACACGATTCCCATCTCGATCCACTCGGGAGTGGACTTCCAGATCATTCCATCCTAAGTGCATTCTGCACAGTTTTATCCCACTCACCCAGCTTTTATCCCACTATCCCATCTCCCTTGGATGGTGTCAGAACTACCTTCTTTACCTTAATATATAGCAGTGCTACCAAAAAAACAAAAAATAAAACCAACCAACAGACCAAAAAAATGAAGTCCTGGCATCTGCTCTGTAGAGTTGGCAGGTCACACGCCTGGAAGGGTTTACAACTATCTTTTTCTTAGCATATAGTCTTACTCCTTTCTCAAGTGCAGTATCTTAGTCCGCTCAGGCTGTTACCACAAAATACCACAGATGAGGTGGCTTAAACAACAGGCATTTATTTCTTATAGTTCCGGAGGCTGGGAAGTCCAAGATCAAGGTGCTGGCAGATCGAATTCCCGGTGGGAACCTGCTTCCTGCTTTATAGAAAGCCACCTTCTCACTATATCCTCACAAGATGGAGAGAGAGGCAACCCTGGTCTCTCTTTTTCTTCGAAGGACAACAGTTCCATCATGGAGGCCCCACCTTCCTTCCATGACTTCATCTAAATCTAATTACTTCCAAAGGCTCCACCTTCAAATACCACCATATTGGAAATTAGAGCCTCAACATTTGAATCTGCAGGGGGACATGAACATTCAGTCCATCACAGGTAGAGATCCTCCATGTATGAAGTATGGATTAAATGGATGGCAGATTTGAAATCTACCATATATTTACTGATGCTCTAAGGACACCAAGCTGGGACATCACTGGATATGCAACGATTCTAAAGATCTGAAAGAATGGAGCGGAATAGCTGTATCTGACTGAAAAATTCAATCCTTCACATGATAGAGAAACTCCATATAGAGAAACAGGGGTTACACTCCAAAGGAAGACAAGAGGAACACATAATCAAAATTATCCTGGAGAATCCCTCCAGAAAGGTGCCATGATGAAGACCAAGAGACTTCTGAATTCCCACACGGACACTAAAGTCCTCCGGGCACTAGAGTGGGTTGCCATGTCCACGGTTGGGCACCAGATAAAGCCAGGAGGCTACATTCTAGAGTTACACTTGGCTTGGCAAGTTATTCACACAATGAGAGGAAATGAGTCCAATGAAGGGGAAAGCCATTTCATACCTATAGTTGTTGGGCAGCATATTGATAAATTAGTCAATGCAGTTTTAATTGCTACCCACCCCCTTTCTTTGTGGCACGAGTGGAGTTGAATTCACTTGGATCAAAGGCACACATGATGGAACCCACTGCACTGGGTACCTTACCAGCCACAGACCACACCTTTCTCTTCAGCCAGTCACCCTGAAAACACCTCCCTTTGGTCCCTGGGGGAATCAGGCAAGAGTGCTGGGTAGATCCGAATAAATTCACCATGACCACTGTAAAAAATAAATCTAAAGCGCCTTCATGGAGAATTCCATGCAGAAGCAAAGCTGAAAGCTGCACAATATTTTCCTTTTGCCCTGACATCCCTGTGCCAAGTCCAATCTTTCTTCCCTGCCCTTTTTCCAAGTTTCTTTCGGATCAGGTATTTGAGGTTTGAATTATAATTCCCCAAATATGCTGGCTTGCAACTTTCTGGGTTGAACCTGGTTTTATTATTGCTTGCCCACAAAGTCAACATCTCTCGAGTCTCTGCTGGGCCTTGTGTCCCTAGGTTGCTTATAGCATTTGTCCAACTTAACTCTGGATCCGTGGCTGGTAACCACCAGGCATTTCAATCACGTGAGTAGACAAACTGCTACAGGCAAAACCACAAGAATACTCAGAATTATGAGGAACAATTCCAAATGTCTATGCCTTTTTCCAAAGGCTTTGGATTATTAAAGGGAACAGGTCAGATACTAAACTCAAGTCTATGATGAGTGGAAAAAAAAAAAAAAAAGACCCTCACAACTTCCCTCTATACCAGCAGCTTCTATGACTCCAAAACCACATCCCACTTCAGCCCTGAACACTGTTAATTACAGCATTTAAGGACTGAATATTGAGGTGGAAATGAAGATCCAAAGCACTGTAATGAAAATGCAGTCAAAGCACGGCCTTGTCAGATAAACATTTGGACCCAGGGGCAAAAGCCAACACAGCTGAGTATACCCCTTCCTCTCCTGAAACTCAGTCAATTCAACATTTCAATTTCTAGGAATTTGTCCTTCACAGAAACGTCAGCAGATGTGCTGGAAAACAAAACACAGCAAGATGCTCATCACGAGCACTGCTTGTAACACAAAAATAACCAGAAATGAACCTAAAGGTCCAGGGGTGCCTGGGTGGCTCAGTCAGTTAACTGTCTGCCTTCAGCTTGGGTCATAATCCCAGGGTCCTGGGATCGAGCCCCGCATCGGGCTCAGCGTGGCGTCTGCTTGTCCCTCTCCCTCTGCCTCTGCCCCTGACTCATGCTTGCTAACTAAAATCTTTAAGAAAAAAGAAATGACCTAAAGGTCCATCAACAGGAAAGTGGAACCAACCACTTAAAACCACCCACGTAAAAGAATATTAGGCACATGAAGTAGCTCAATCTCCACGAGAATATACATTCTTTAAAGGCAGGGATTTTTTTCTGTTTTGATCACTACTATAAACCCAGTACCCAAAACAGAACCTGGCACAAAACAAGTGCTCCATAAATATTTGTTGAGTAAATATATTGCTAAGTGAGCAAAGCTAATAGCAAAATATTACAGACATATAATCCATTTTGTGTAAAATGAAACAAGAGTGATGTTAGAACATACATGTAAAGGGCTGACTGGTTGCTAGAGTGGGCTGACTGGTACACAGGAGTGCACTATGTAATTCTCTTTACCTTGAGACATGCTTGAAAATTTCTATAATAAATATTTTATAAGAACCAAAAAAATTGCAATATTATGCACCAAACTGGTAACAGTGGGTATCTCACACAGAGGAGATTTTGAGGGATAGTCTCTCATCTTGACCTTTTATATTTAACTTTGTATTGTTTACAATTAGGAAGAAAAAATTCTTAAAGTGATATAGTCACCTCAAAGTACTACCGTTGTGAACATACAGAAGCTTTTGCCTACAGTAAACATAGGTGGAAGAGCGTAGGGTTGCAGCGACTGTCAAATCACCAAGAGCAGTCCAATTTCAACAATTATCAACACTTTGCATGTTTAATATCAGTTTATTTTTTTACACAAATTCTATAATACAATGCTTAAGGTTTTCCCACTTGGTTTGCTTAGCAATATAGTCATTCGACCAATATTTACTGAACATCTACCATGTGCCAGACACTGTTTTAAGCCCTGGGAATAGAACAGTAATTAAGAAACAAAAATCTCTTCCCTGGTTCCCAGATCCGGGTTCCCTGCTCCCTGCCCTCCTTTGGCTGGGGGCACCTCTTCAGAGCTATACCTTCGTCTCATTTTCTCCAACAGTCCCAAAAGAAAATCTCCATCTCTATGACAAGATTCAAGAAACTTATGCAGCAGCAGCTGTTGGGCCCTTTTTCCCATGTGAAAACGAAGCTTACATTCCAAAACAGAAAACTCAAAACAGGGAGGGGCGCGTGGGTGGCTCAGATGGTTAAGCGTCTGCCTTCAGCTCAGGTCATGATCCCAGGGTCCTAGGATCGAGCCCTGCATCGGGCTCCCTACTTGGCGGGAAGCCTGCTTCTCTCTCTCCCTCTACTGCTCCCCCTGCTTGTGCTCTCTCGCTCTCTCTGTCAAATGAATAAATAAAATCTTTAAAAAGAAAAAAAAAGAAGGGAAAAAAGAAAACAAACAACCCTACTAATGTAATCACTGTTTTTCAAATCACAACCTCTCGGCCTTACTCCCCAGGAAGCCTCTTCAAAAATACGAAACAATTCGTTGCAAGAGAATTCTATTAGAAAAATCTACATTTCACTAAGCCTAAGTCCCCTGATTACTGATGGAGTTTAGAAGATCCACTACTTTAAAGTAACCAGAGGGCAGGGGTGCCCGGGGTGGCTCAGTTGATTAAGCATCTGGACTCTGGATTTCGGCTCAGGTCATGATCTCGGGGTCATGGGATCAAGCCCCGTATCAGGCTCCATGCTCAGCGGGGAGTTTGCTTGAGATTCTCTGCACCTCTCCTGCTTGTGCTATAAATCAGTCAATCAATCAATCAATCATTTTAAAGAAAATTAAAAATAAAAAAATAAAATAACCAGAGGGCAGACTCCAGACTGATGAAGGTGCCTGAAGATGGCTTGATAAATTAGTCTATCTCATAATTTCCCCTCCCCTCCCACTCCCTACTTAAAAATTTAAATATTCAAGAAAATAAGGTGGGAGTTTATTCAAATATGGAACAAAGAAAAGTACCCAAATACATTTTAAAATTAAAGACACACAACATGTTAAATATATGTTGAGGTTGACGGCTAGTTATTGGGTTAACATTTGTTATCTCTTATGTGTCAGGCAACATAAGCCTGGTCTGTGCACTAATTCATTCAATCCCCACACAGCCTTATTACATATGTGTTTTCCCCATCTTGCAGATAAGGAATCAGAAGAGACAAGGTACAGGTAAATCCCAAAGGTCACTGTGGTGGCCATACGCTGATTTTAGCTACTCAAAACTCCCAGCTCCTTTGGACACTTGCACATCCCCCATTCCATGAGACCCCAGTAATCAGGGTGCCCTGAGCCCCAGGGTACCCAGAGAAGTTCCCATCACACTTCATATCCTGGTCCAGTGCCTGCTCAAGGGGTAGGCAGATGACCCAGAGCAGAGCTAATTAGAATCTTCCCTCGGGATTGTACTAATATAGACAGTGGACGATAAAAGTTGAACAGGATATGGTACCCAGTCTCCAAAGATGGTGCCCAATGAATCACATGCCTCCTAGAATTCACGACCTCGTGTAGTTCCCTGGCACATGGAATTTGGGAAGCCGTATAACTCACTTCAAACAACAGAATGCAGCCAAAGTGATCCTCTGTCCCTTCCTGGCAGCTTTGGTGCTTTGGAAATTTGGTGCCTGGCACCAAAGGGACCATGTAGATCAGAGGTCAGCAAGTTTTTGCTTGAAGAGCCAGAGAGTAAATATTTTAGGCTTTGTAGGCCATACAGTCTCAGACACAGTGACTCAAATGCCTTGTTGTGAGAAAGCAGCCACAGAGAGTACATAAACAAAGGGCATGGCTAACAAGTTCCAGCAAAACTTTGTGTACAAGACAGGTATCCCAGGCTGTCATTGGCTGACCTTGATGGAGAGACCACACGGAGAAGCCACGTGGAGAACAAGAGGCCCTGAGACTTCACAGAGACAGGGAAAGGCCCAGTCATCCCAGAGTCCTAGCTGAGTCCAGTCTTCCAGGCAACCCGCCAAACACTGAGCAGGCCATCTTGGACATTCTAGACCAGGAGAGTCCCAGGTGCCTGCAATCTTAGCCAGAGTCACATGGAGAGGAAAAATCCTCAGCTGAGCCCAGTCAACCCACAGATTCATGAGAGGTAATACAGTGATTACTGTTTCAGGCCACTATAGTTCAGGGTGCTTGGTTACACAGCAAGGTCGTATAAGGGAGGGTTTCTCACACTTGGCACTACTGAAATTTGGGGCCAGATAATTCTAAGCTGTGGTGGCTATTCTGTTGTTGCAGGAAGGTTAGCATTATCTCTGGCTTCACCCATTAGATGCCAGTAGCACCCTTCCCCTCCAAGCTGTGACAATCAAAAATATCTCCAGACACTGCCAAGAGTCCAGAGGGGGGCAAAATCACCACTGGTTGAAAAACACTGATGTAAGGTAATAAAATACAAAAGTGGGACATGGACACCAGCAGCCAACTCCCCCACCTCAAGGAAGACAAGAAGAGGGTGTGGGTAGAGTCGATTTATGCCTTTCATAGGCCCTAGGCATGCCTCCCTTCATCAGCCCCTTCCTCCATAAAAAAAAAAAAAAAAAATCAAGGGGCGCTGGGGTGGCTCAGTCGGGTAAGTATTCAACTCGTGAGCTCAGCTCAGGTCTTGAGATCTCAGGGCCATGAGTTCAAGCCCTGCATCAGGCTCCACGTGAGGTGTGGAGCCTACTTTAACAAAAACAAACAAAAAAAACTATTAAAAAAAGTCAAAACTTATATTTTACCATGACGTTAACATAAAGATGAATACAACCCCGAATCATTATACGTTACTATATTTTTCTTATTATTTCAAAATTAAATTAAATTAAACTAATGAAAAGAAGTTCAGTTTATTAAAATTAAATACTGTGGGCCCTGAGCACTGTGTCTGCTATGCCTGCTAGATTATCAGCCCTGAGTGGGTGTAAGGATGGAACCAGAGGACATCGTTTAAGACCCTGGAACCAGCCATGCCAAGAGTTTGACCCAACCCTAGATTTCTCAGTTTCATGAGCCATACATTCACTTTTTGTCCTAAGCTAGTTTAAGTTGAGTTTCTGTCACCTGCAACCAGCAGACCTGACTTATCTGGTCTCCCAGCTGCAGCAGGTGGAAAATGGCCTGAAATTGGGTCTGTCTTCCTCCGAGCAGAGTTTTTACCCACGACCACCAACCACTAACTCATTCTGGCCTCCACCATCTTTGCAGTTTTGTCTAACAGAACAGTTTTCAAGAAAAAGTTCTCCAAACTTACACTTCCGGACAAAGTTGCTCACGTGCTTGATCTTCATCAGAGCAGGCTGACTGCATTCTCCGAAGAGAACGAAGAGGGCATCTAATATCCCTTCTCGGGAAAGAGGAGACATCTGCTGTTGAGTCAGAAAGGGTGGTTTCCCCTAAAAACAGCAAACAGCAGATGGAGACACTGTCAATAATGAAAAGCTTTGATCAATAACATCCACACAGAGTAAATTACAAGCCACCAACTCTAACTGCTCACGACACACGCTAACAGCACAACCCTGGGGCTTCATTCTTTAAAGCGACATCAACTGAGTCATTATGTTATCACTTGTAAGATTCCATTACTGTGGGTTTCTTCCACCAGCACCTGGGAAGAAAAACTTCACAAGCGTGCCATTAAAAACAAAAAGCCAGGGGCGCCTGGGTGGCTCAGTCGTTGGGCGTCTGCCTTCGGCTCAGGTCATGATTCCAGGTCCTGGGATCGAGCCCCGCATCGGGCTCCCTGCTCTGCGGGAAGCCTGCTTCTCCCTCTCCCGCTCCCCCTGCTTGTGTTCCCTCTCTCGCTGTGTCTCTCTTTGTCAAATAAATAAATAAAATCTTTAAAAAAAAAAACCAAAAGCCCCCCCCTTTTTTTGAGAGAGAGACAGAGAGAGAGAGAAAATGAGCTGGGGGGCGGGTGGTCAGTGGGAGCACACTCACCGCTGAGCAAGGAGCCCAATGTGGGACTGGGATCCCAGGACCCTGGGATCATGACCTGAGCCGAAGGCAGACACTTGACCGAGCCTCCCAGGTGCCCAAGGCCCTTCTTTCTTAACAGTCTGTGGCTCATGGGAACATTTACTCTGGACCCTGCTGGTTCTGAAATGTTTCCATGTCTCTACAACAGGACACAATGATTGCTACTTCTTTCGAGTGTGCCCAGAGGTTTGTTAATGTAACTGTGCTTTCTTTAATTCACTCGAACAATCTAGAGTAGTATGGATGAAGTGACCATACTAAAGCTGAATTTATTCATGATCTAGACCAACAGTTGCAAACTGGCAGACTATATCCAACCCACATGTTTTGTTGGGCCTGCAGCATTTAAAATAATTTGAATTATCTGCCAATATTGAAAAATCAGGAAATTTGGGGGTTCTCCTGAAACACTAGAGGACCAAGCCACATTGCCCCACATCCCTGCCTGGTGATGCTGAGCTGTGGCTGAGTGATGCTGCCCCTCTGGGTAGTGAATGTGGTCTGCAGTTCATTGCAGACCTGACTCCCAGTCTTCCAGGTGGCCCATGTGACTCACTCATAGTCACTGCCTGGCCCCCAAAGACATGAGTTTGCAACCTCTGGTCTAGAGCAATGATTTCCATGTGCCAGGCTATGGATTGTGTGGAGGTATCTCTGCAGAGATGGCCACCTACAGGCCCTCTCACTCTGTAAGTGCTTGGCACCGCTCTCATCAACAGCCAGAGTCTATTTCCCCGCCCCTTGAATCTGTGCTGTCTCGGTGACTTGCTTCAAGCAACAGGTGACACAAGTGACACTGTGCCAGTTCAGGGCAGAGCTCTAAAGATGCCTAGCAGCTTCTGCTTTTGCTCTTTTGGGAAGCCAGTCACCATGTAAAAAAGCTTAGTCTAGACCAGGGGGTCAGCAAACTACAGCCCGTAGGCCAGCGTGGCCCACCGTCTGTTTTTATAAATAAAGTTTTATTGGAACACAGCCACACCCATTCACTTACATATTGTCTGTGGCTGCTTTTGTGCTACAATGGCAGAGTTGAATGGCTGCAGCTACACCCAAAGCCTAAAATATTTATTATTGAGAGAAGAAAGTTACAAGCCCTGGGTTAGACTACTGGATAATGAAAGACCTCATAGAGAAGTCAGCTGGAGGAACACTGAGATCCCTAGCCAGCAGTCAGTACCCAGATAGTCCAGCCCCAGCCAAGCTCCCAACACAATATGGCCTCTGGAGTGACCCCAGCTGATATCACAGGGTGAAACAGAACTGCCCAGCTGAATCCAAACAACCCACAGAATCATAAGATAAAAGGAATCATCACTGCTTTAAACTCTGTGAGTGGTTTCTTACACAGCACTGGATACTAGAAACGGACTGGCTACATTTGAATCACCTGAAGAACTTAGCTAAAAAAACAACAAAATTCTCTGGTGCTGGAGCACCTGGGTGGCTCAGTCGGTTAAGTGTCTGCCTTCAGCTCAGGTCATGATCCCAGGATGGGATCGAGCCCCGCGTCGGGCTCCCTGCTCAGCAGAGAGCCTGCTTCTCCCTCTCCTCCCCACTCGTGCTCTCTCTCGCTATCTCTGTCTCTCTCAAATGAATAAATAAAATCTTAAAAAAAAAATTATCTGGTGCTATCCCTGACCTACTGAACTAGAACTTCCCATTTTGTAGCTTAGAATCTGTCTTATTAACAAGCTCACCAAGAGATTCAAACCTCAGCCAGGGATGTGAAGCCCTGGGTCACAAGCCACCATACCTGTCACTTTAGTTATAGTTCTGCCACAAATTCCAAAAAATAGTCTTTGTTCTTTTGTTCTTTACTGAGTGTAGACTAATTGGAGCAACGGTTCCCAAATACAGTACTGATGCTTAACCAAGTGCTCAAGTCTGCCACGAAATGAGAAAAAATGAACACCACATGATGACTGGTCTATAAAGCTAAACACATTCAAATTTTAAAGGGACCTTTTGTTCTGAAATCACGTCCTTCCTCTGTTGGTGTTTCTTAAAATGTCCCTTCTTTACGAAACGAAAGGACCAGAAGATAATGGCTTTTCTCTATATCTTGTTACATCCTTCTTACATCTCTTAGTTGGCAAAATAAAAAGCTGGCAAACCTATGTCAGCCTAGCAAATTTGTGAAATTTTGTTGGCTCAAAAGTCTAAATGTCTGCTGACCACCTGACACAAAACTCACTGGGATGTTAAGCACAATGTTAAGTAGAAACCACTTAACCCAGGGACGCCTGGGTGGCTCAGTCGGTTAAGCATCTGCCTTCAGCTCCGGTCATGATCCCAGGATCCTGGGATCAAGTTCTGCATCGGGCTCCTGGCTCCACGGAGAACCTGCTTCTCCCTCTGCCTGCCGCTCCCCCTGCTTATGTTCTCTCTCTCTCTGACAAATAAATAAAATCTTTAAATAAAAAAGAAACTAAGACCCAGTCCAAAGTACTTACCTGAATGGAAAACAAAATCACTACTCTATCTAAACCTCATTAAAATAGTATTACACAGGGGCGCCTGGGTGGCTCTGTCCGTTAAGCGTCTGTCTTCGGTTCATGTCACGATCCCAGGGTCCTGGGATCGAGCCCCGCATCAGATTCCCTGCTCGGCGGGAAGCCTGCTTCTCCCTCTCCCACTCCCCTGATTGTGTTCCCTCTCTCGCTGTCTCTCTCTGTCAAATAAATAAATAAAATCTTTAAAAAAAAAAAAGATAGTATTACACAGGGAAAGAACAGTATCCGTACCTGGTTAGGCAAATGTTAGATGTATGCTATGCTTGCAAATAATAGCTTTCCTGGGGACAGGGAAGAGCTCATCACGAAAAAAAGATGAACTGGGGATTTACCCACAACCCTTGCTGTTAGAATGACATTTAAATATAAGACACAATAAATTCTAACACACGTTGGCAGTGTTGCCAATGGTTACATGCCCAGCCTCTGTTGTCAGAATAAAAATGGAGCCTGGCTCTGTCATTTACAAGCTGCATGATCCTGGGCAAGTCCTTGCCTCCCTCGATATCTGTCTCTTCCTATTTAAGATGTAAATAAGAATAGTCCTTACGTCTGTAATGGAGCTGAAGTGAGATAATCAGGAGCATGCTGGCTCTGTACCGAGCACATTGGAAGCCACAATTCTTACATAAGGAGCACATTATACGCCTTCAGTCAATTTTGTAATAAGTCAAAAAAGTTTTGGAGTAAAACATAAAGGGGCTAAAACATGGCAGCACTCCGGTCAGCTAGCATTAGGGACAGACTACTCATTTGTGAAAAATATCTCATGACTTAAAATGACAATGACAACAGGAATGGTCCCACAAAACAACCTAAGCTTTAAATCTGTCTCCATTCTGATCTCTTTGAACATCCCCCAATACCAATATTTTGGGGGAAAAAATGTCATCAAGAAAGTATCAGTATCATCATACAGGTATCCTTGCATAAATACCTTCCTAAATATAATTACTGCTAAGTAAACACAAATTTTTCATTATTATAACTAATATTAGTTCTACACTTCGCATTAATAATAGTTACCATTTATAACCATTGGCTTACCAAGAGCTAAGCAAGAAAAGTGCTTTACATCAATTATCTCATTTCATCCTCATGATAACCCTGTGAATTTGGTGCTATAACCTCTATTTGAAAGAGTGGCAAATGAATGCAGAGAAGGCAAGAGAGTCGCGCAAGATAACACAGCTAACAAGTGCTGGGGCCAGGATTCAAACCCAGATCTTCACCACTATCTATATTGTCCCCTTGACTTGTGAATACATAAGTCAAACAAGGATTTCTACATCAACGTTTCATCTACATCAAAAACAAAAGAATTAGAAGTCTACTTGGAAATTATTTCCTGAGCTTTAACACTTCTGGGGTGATAGAAACGTTCTTTATCTTGAGCAGAATATGGGTTTCACAGGTGTGGGTATTTATCATTTCTTTCTTTCTTTTTTTTTTTTTAAATAAAGATCTCTTGAACGGGGCGCCTGGGTGGCTCAGTCAGTTAAGCATCTGCCTTCAGCTCAGGTCATGATCCCAGAGTCCTGGGATCAAGTCCCCGCATCAGGCTCCCTGCTCAGCGGGGAGCCTGCCTCTCCCTCTACCTGCCTCTCTCTCTCTCTCCCTCAGTCAAATGAATAAATAAGAAAATCTTAAAAAAAAAATCTCTTGAACGAAAATAAATAGAATTACATCTATAGCTATTGTGGCCCAAAGAATGCCTTTGTTTGTTTTTCCTTAACAAAAGAACAACCTTAGTACAGATAAGTAAAGTGTAAGAAATGATAAAAAAGATCTCCCTTCAAGGACAAGTTCAGCTAGCTACTCCTCTGTACAGTGGCTTTTTCCACTACTATCAGCACATATAAAAGACCAAATAGGATTTCTCCTAGAAGATTAGCCTCAATCCTGTAATAAGAATTGTAAAAGTGACAAGGAGGTTCCAAGGAAATAAACACAGGTGAACAGAGCTGGCAGCGTGTTACCTGGAAGAAATGATTCAGCCTGGAGGCCCGGTTGGCAATGGGTTCAGCAGCACCAGCGTCCAGCAGATTCCGTGCTCCATATTTGAACTTCAACATCTCTCCAATGGTGAAGAGATACGGAGAAGGTCAAGTGTGTACTGCCAAATTGAGGAGGAAGGGCTTGAAAGATCCTGATCTTCCTCAAGATGTCAGGGATAGCGAGGTGAAAACCAGCCACCACAAAACAGATCTTGGGAAGTTCAGTCTGGCAACGGACATTAAAAAACAGATTTTTACTCACTGTAACAAGAGGTAATACACTTATCTGACATATTCTCTTACAAATCAATTTATTATCTGCTCCACCGATAATGTAAGCTCCACAAGGGCGGAGACACAGACCCTGGCACATAGCAGGTGCTAATAAATACTGAATGAATGAATGAAATAAGCGAATTACATAGTATGTTGGAAAGTAATCTGTGCTACAGGGTTAAAAATGAGAAAGAGCAAAGTAGGGGCAACTGTTGTGTGTGCGCAACTTTTAACAGTGTAGTCAGAGTAGACTTCACTGAGAAGGTAACATTTGAAGCAAGATCTGAAGCGGGTAAGCAGTAAGCCTTGCTGATGGGCGGGGGAGGAAAGGACAGTGTGCCGTCCAGAGGGAACAGCCAGGGCTAGGGCTCTGAGGCAGGACCTGGCCTTCTCTGACAACAGCAGAGAGACGAAACGGGGTGGAGCAGTGGGAAAGACGCGGGAAACAGGTGACTGACGGTACTGAGAGTGTGAAGTCACTACATAAATAATAGGGAGCTGCCGCACTCCACTGGACGGAGTAACGCAGGTAATGCTGACAAGCAACCAGGCAGGGCGGAACCCACAGGGGACCCCCTCCAGGTTTAAGAAGGGAACAATTCCTCCTGCCCCGGGCACCACCTACTGACCTTTAGGCTCTCTCGGAGGAGCGCGCGCGCACCGCCAGCCTGGTAAGACCCTCCGGCCCTCGGCAGCCTTGGGGGCGGAACCACCGCCCTCCCGGCAACTGGAGGGAAAGCCCGGACTGGTGTGGGTGGAGGCGCCCCTGCCCCCGGCCTTACGGAATGGGGTGGGGGAGAAATGGGCGTGCGGGGTTCGGACTCACGCTCCGCCGACCCCGCCAGTCCGCGCTCTGCTCCGCCCCGCGCCTCCCGCCGCCGCGTTTGAATCTGGTGAACAGCATGGGCGGGGCTCAGCCGCGTCCGGACCAATCAGAGTGCCCGCTCCTAGGATGAACTACTGCGTCCCACCCAAGTCCTTAAAGGGATAGAGGAAGTGAAAGGGAAAACCAATCAGATTGTTTCTTCCTCTGACTCGTGACCAATGGAAAACGGGGAAAGACAAACCCGGCAGGGCAGCTCCTGGAAGTTTGAAATTGGCGGTTAAGCAGGATTCTGCGTTTAAGGACGCGTCTGTTTGTGTATAGGATCCCTGGGGAGGTCGCGAGGGCGCTGTCCTCTGCTATCATGACCACCTGCGAGGAGGAAGGCAGCCAGGCCGCCCTAGTCTTCTTGTTCCTTAAACCGGGCTAAAGTCGAAGTACTTGTTATTTGGGGAAATCAGCTTGTTCTCTGCTACAGCTGAGGCAGGAAATGTTTTGAGCCTGAACTGCCAACCTGCCTCGGTTACTTGCAACTTGGGGCTGATTGCCCAGCGACCAATAGGTGAATGTATTGATACTGTCTGAAAGGACATTTTAAAAATCAATTAAACGCAGGAGATTTAAATAGGCACTTCACTAAAGAGGAAATCCAAATGGCCAACAAACGTATAAAAAGGTGCTCGGGGCTCCTGGGTGGCTCAGTCGTTAAGCGGCTGCCTTCGGCTCGGGTCATGATCCCAGAGTCCTGGGAGTCCTGGGATGGAGCCCCGCATCGGGCTCCCTGCTCAGCGGGAAGTCTGCTTCTCCCTCTCTCGCTCCCCCTGCTTGTGTTCCTGCTCTCGCTGTCTCTGTCTCTGTCAAATAAATAAAATCTTTTAAAAAAAAAAGTGCTCAACCTAATACATAATCACGAAATAGGAAAAATAAAACCACAGTGAGAAATAACACTCACCGCTCCCTCCCCCCCAAAAAAGATGTGGAACCACAGTCATTCATACATAGCTGATGGGACTATAAATTAGTACAGTCTCGAAAAAAAAAGTTTGGCTCTATTTGGTAAAACTGAAGATAAACACATTCTATGGCTCACATGTACAAGAATGTACAAATAGTACTGTATGACATAATGGCCAAAAAAAAAAAAAAAACCCTGGAAACAACACAGATGTCTACCAGCAGTACAAAGTATAATTTTTTATATTGCAGTGTTTTCATACAGTAATGAAAAGGAATGAATACAGCTAAACACAATGCATAATGAGTTTTGAAACAATGCTGAATGAGGGAAATGGCAATAGAATAAAGTATGATTTCATTAAAATAAATTTCAAAAGCAGACCAAAAACATGTAAAGGGAGAGATGTACGTACAGGTGGTAAAACCATAAAGAAAGCAAAAGTCAGGAGAGTGGTTCCCTGGGGTTAAAATGGAGGCCATTCAAGGTGTCAGGGAGCTGCTATGATCTGTTTCTTAACCTTGATAGTAATAACATAGATGCTTGTTTTAGAATTATTAAATTGGGTGTGCATGTATTTATATAAATGTTCTATTTATGTACATAAAAAATTTGAAGGAGACAGTCTTTCCTGTACTCTTCTAATTCTACACTAGATAGAACTGGAGATGTGTTATCACATGCACCCATGCACACACATGTGTGCAGCAGTACAAAACCAAAGCGACAGACTTGCTGAATACACTTATTTTCCCCAAATGTAAACTTGCTCGTTCTCCCTGGGACGATAATGATAGCTACTATTTATCAAGCCCCCTCCCCTACCAAGCACTTTATCTCATTTAATCCTTACCACAACCCTAAGAGAGAGGAACTATAACCCACATTTTATGGATGGAAAAACTGAAACTCAGAGAAGTGGAGTGGCTAATTTGAGGGTATTCAACTTTAGGTGGTTGAGTGGGGTTTGGAACTCCCAGACTGACTCCAAATCCTTTGGTCTTATACAAAACCTGCTTCTCAGAAGATGCTAGAAATTCTCCCAGTCTTTTCATTTGTCATGTTGCAAGGACTGCCCCAGTATAGAAAGATGTCAAGCAAAACTAAGAAATGCTTTTAAATGACATGTTGGCAATGGCAAGGTAAGGGGAGATGCAAAGTGGGTTGTAGCCAACTGTTGACTTGATATAAAGGATCTCAGCAAGGTCTGAAGGTGGATCTAGTCAACACTTCTGATTTTTCCAGTCCAGCCAAACCTGTTAGTTTCCTGGCATCAGAAATAGAAGCCTTTACCGGAATCTTGGGATTTGTTCATCCTAAATTAGAATGCAGTGTTAGCAGCACTGTTTTGCACTGCCCTGAATCCTGCCTAGATATCCTAATTTCCCGTTAGAACAATTACTGGTCTCTGCAAACACCTTATGAAACAAGACAGGGAATAAAGAACAAATAAAATGAATACAGAAAGATACAGCCAAAAAACACATTAACCCCACCAATTTTCTTTCAGGAGTAGTAGCTGCACAAAAAAATGTATGGGGAGAGCAAATAAGAAGGGCCCAAGAGTGGATATGCAGGTGCTAAAAGGATAAGACACTGTCAAATAGAACTGTCATTAAAACTAGACAGACGGGTGCCTGGGTGGCTTAGTCCATTAAGCAGCAGACTCTTGATTTTGGCTCAGGTCATGATCTCAGGTCCTGGGATCAAGCCCCACATCAGGCTTGGTGCTCAGCGGGGAGTCTCCTTGAGAATTCCCTCTCTCCCTCTCCCTCTGCACCCCCTCAAATAAATAAATCTTAAAAAAAAAACAACAGGAAACCTGAGACCATATGTTTGTTCTTGCACAAAATGAAACCATGACCAGACCTATGCTGAACATGAATCCATGATGATTATCATAATGAGGATTCTGGAAGAACGCCATCATAACTGAGCCATAATGAAGGACCTTATGACATTCCTCCATTCAACCATTCATTTATAAAAAAAAAAAAAAAAAAAAAACATTTATGGTGCCAAGCACTGGGGGTACCGAAACAAAAAAGACACCCTTCTTGCCTGATTTTCAAAGGCTAATTACGGTGGGGAAATGGGGCTGTGAGCAAACAGTTGTGAAACACTTCGAGAAGTTCCTGTCACAGTGGGAAGTACGGAGAGCTGGGGCAACCCAGACACAGGGGAGGGCAGGCCGTGTGTGGCAGCAAATAGCCAAAACTTGAAAATGGAAAGAATGTGACGGCCCTCAGAGCAGTCCCCTGGGAGATAACACAAGCGGAGATACTCCAAGACTCCTGGAAGGGGAAGGAAAGACAGCAAGACTCAAACCAGACCTAGTGGAACCTTAAGAATGATACATAACCATCCCCCAAAGGAAGAAAAAAGGATCTGAGGAACTAACCCCATTCTAGATATAGAGATAAATTTATTCTGGTCCCTTTGGCAAGGAAGAATTCTTCAAGCTATTTTAGCCGCAGGTAACTTCTAAATCATGACACCAACTACCATTAACTGAGTGCTTTCTAAGAAGCCATAGCCAAGGTATTACCTGTTCCCAGAGATGTGTACCCGCCACTGGTATGAGGGACACTTTCAAGTCACATACAAATGTCACTTATTTTTTTTTTTAATTATACATTTTACCGTGTTAGGAACTATGGTAACTAGTTCATCAAACCAGGTGTTGTAGGATGTTTAGCAGTATCTTGGCCTCCACCCACTAGATGCCCCACCCACTAGCATGCACTCCCAGGGGTGACAACCAAAAATGTCTCCAGACATTGCCAATGTACCCTGGTAGGGGGAGGGACCACCCTGGATAGAGAACCACCTGTTATAACTGGATGATGTGAAATTTTCCAATGAATACATTAAATATACTTTATATAAACCAACAGAGTTTTTACAAAATACACGTCTGATAAAGATCCAAAATATACAAAGAACACTTAAAACTCAACAATAAGAAAACAGCCCAATGTAAAAATGAGCGAGAGACCTTAAAGGACACCCCACTAAAGAAGA